GCCTAAATCATTATAGCGGTTATGCTATTGTCCAAATTACTGTTTGGACTACTATTACGACAGTTTCTTTTGTCCAAATTGTGGTGGAGGTAACTAGAATCATGACTAAGATTGCTAGTGTTTTTAGCAACCACTATTATTAGGGCTATTATTCTTCCTATTGCCATTGCTCTTGTTGTTGCAACAAGTGATTTTATTTCCTGCAAGCCTTTGATGGCTTGCGATTGGCCATAATTAGGATTCTTATTCTTGTTCTTGGCATATATGCTTTGTCTATTCCTTAGACCTCTGCAATAACCTTTGTTTAAATTTCCTGCTAGTGATTTTATTTCTGCTTCACTTTTCCCAATGAGTGAGCCTTAACTCTAGATGAAGATTCCAACAATTGTTACTATCGCCTCCATTTAACAATGAGAGTAAAAAGGCCTTTTGTTTCTTTTCCTTTAACCTTTTTGATTTTCATCATCTTTATCTAGTCCATTTATTTATTACTTTTTTTCACACGATCATTCTGTTCTCTTCTCTAAACTTAGCCTTATTTCTAGCTTCAATAACAAGCACTGCAATTTTTTGCCTCAATTAAAAAGAAATGGGAATGATAAAATTTTGTTAGTCCCCTAAGAAACTACAACAACAACAACAAAGCCTTAATCCCACTACGTGGGGTCAGCTACATGAATCCTTTTTCTCCATTGTGTCATATTTAGTGTCACTCATTTAATTCTAATAAATTCTAATAAATTAAGATCATTCTTAATACAATAAGCCGAAGTCTTCCAAGATCTACCTCTGCCTTTCTTAACATAAGTCGAATCTAAAACATCTACTCTCCTAATCGGATCATCAGATGGTCGACGTTTAATGTGACCAAACAATCTAAGACAACTCTCTAATTTTGTCGATCACTGGAGCTACACCAACCCTATCCAGTATATATTGATTTCGCATTTTGTCTCTAAGTGTAAAGCCACTCATCCACCTAATCATTCTCATCTCGACAACACTTAACTTACTATCATGCTTCTCTTTTAAAGGCCAACATTCAGCGTCATAGAGCATTGCAGGTCTCACCAACCTCTTATAAAATTTTCCCTTCGGTCTAAGCGGTGTTCTCTATCACACAAAAGGCCCAAAGCATTCCTCCATTTCAACCAACCAACTTGAATTCTACTATTAACATCCCCATCTATATCACCATCGCTTTGAACAACAGACCCAAGATATCTAAATCGTTCACACCTTTTAATAATTAGATCACCCAAATTTACACTTCTGTCACTAGAGCTACTACTACTAAAATTACATTCCAAGTATTCAGTTTTAGTTCTACTCAAATGAAGGTCTTTAGACTCCAATGTAGACCTCTATAATTCAAGTTTTTCCTGAGCTTTTCCTCTCGTCTTATCCACGAGAAGGATATCATCAACAAAAAGCATACACCAAGGTACATCCTCCTATAAAGTCCAGTAAAACCATCCATAACTAAAGCAAAAGTAAGACCATCCATAACTAAAGCAAAAAGATATGGGCTTAAAGCCGATCCCTGATGTAATCCAAATAAAATAGGAAAATATTTGGTCAATCCTCCTTCAGTTCGAACACAAGTAACAACTCTAGTATACAAATCTTTAATGACTTGAATATAAGTCATATGAACATCTTTATTCTCAATAACGCTCCAAAGGACATCTCTTGGTACCTTATTGTAAGCTTTCTCTAAATCAATAAAAATCAAATGTAGATCCTCCTCAATATCTATTAACTTCTCTATCAAACCTCTCAATAAATGTATAGCTTCCATGGTAGAACTGCCCGACATAAAACCAAATTTATTATGAGAAATCTTTGTAATACGTCTCAACCTATGTTCAATTACCCTTTCCATAATTTTAAATTATGACACATCAACTTAATTCCTATATATAAATTGCACACTCTTGTGAATCTCCTTTATTCTTTAAAATGGGACCAAAATACTCTTTCTCCACTCCTCAGGCATCGTTTCAGTTTTTAAAATAATATTAAAGAGTTTAGTAAGCCAAGAAACTCCCAAATCTCCTAAATATTTCCACACTTCAATTAGAATATCATCAGGTCCTACAGACTTTCCACTCTTTGTTTTCTTTAAAATCTCCTCAACTTCTTTTTTACTAATGTGACAGTAAAAAAGAAACGTTTTATTATTATTAACAATATTAAGATCACTAAGGTCGGTCGTATTTCAGAAACTTCATTAAAAAATTATCAAAATAATTCACCACACCATGTTAAATATCTTTTTTTATGAAATACACTTTCTAATTTTCATCTTTAATACACTTTACTTAAGTTAAATCTTTACTTTTCTTTTTTTGTTTAGCTAGTTTATACATATATTTTTCAGCTTCCTTAGTATCTAATCTATCATAAACATCACTAAAAGTAGAATTTTTAGCATCACAGATAGTTCTTTTAGACTCCTTGCGAGTCATTTGATTTTTTTCCTAGTTTTCTAAGCTTTTACAATTAAATCAATTCTTATAACAAAACTTCTTATATTTTATCTTTTCTTGCACATTATTATTTCACCACCAACTATTTTTATTTATATAATTTTTTTTCTTTTGATTCTCCAAGTACATCTTTTGTTACTTGTTTAATAGTGTTTGTTACTTCATCTCACATAGCATTTGCATCTTCATGAACCTCCAAAATTTTGAAATCTTGAATTTTACTCATAAAAATCATTAGTTCTAGATTTGACATATTCATTAGTTCTAGATTTTAAGATACTAAGGAGAGTGAAAAATATATGTGCAAGAAAAGATAAAATATAAGAAGTTTTGTTATAATAGTGTTGTTCTAGATTTATGAAAAACACTCTATTGACATGTTCATTTAAATCTCCTCCAATAAAAATTCTTTCTTCAAGAAGTATCATTTATATTAAGTCTTCTAGGTCATTCCAGAATTTAACTTTAGTCCCTGGAGCATAAGCATTTATAAAATTAAAAATCTTAGTATCAACAATAATCTTAAGGGTTATAATTCTATCACCAACTCTATTAATTACCAACTCTTCTATTAATTTTCACAACATTATCTTTCAAACTCATATCTATAATTACACCTACATCATTTCTAGTGCGATTCTCACAAGAATACCAAATTTTAAAACCTAAATAATATGTATTTCATGAATGGCGATGCCTCATCGAATGAAACATCCAAAGTGCTTACTCCATGATTACAACGAAGTACTCTGCCCAAATCTCTACCTCAAATAATGCCACTGAATCCGTTTTGGTTGTTTGTGACCAATGAGAAAGAATTGATCCTTCAATAACCCACTAAATCATGACCACGTCACTTTAATAGGTCGTGATTTTGAAAGTCTGCATTCCACTATATCATAGTATGTTAATAAATCTTAAATTAGGTGAAGGTAACAAAGTCATACTAAGAAAATAGAAAGTACATCTCTAGTTATGAAAAACAATAATCTAGCCTCTTTATATTGACAATTCATTCATATGTCACTATCTCCAACATCATAAAAACCTTGAATGGAGGATGTCTGTTCGTGAAAACTATGAAAAATATTCATTTTCATTTTGAAATTTTGCTAAAATTACATTGTGGAGGGTAGCACAATCTATTGATACATTCCAAAAGAAAGGTTTGAAACATGTCTTCCAAATTCTTGAGCATCTTTTGAAATATCTCCAGACTGATAGCAACCCAGGGAGGTATTCCAATAGATTTCATGACTTCTTGACTATTAGTGGATTCTTGATGTTTAATGGGCTTGAAGAGCACATACACACACACACACACACACACATGAAGAGGGAGAGAGAGAGATTTGAAGGCATATGGCTAAAATCTTATACTCCATGAAGGTGATATCAGTGAAACTAGTGGAATAAAACCCTACTTTCATGGAAATAAGAATAGTTATGTAAACATATGAAAGGAAACAATCCCAAAAAGCACAAAGTACAATTGAGAACGTCTACCTTCAAGGAATCCACGTCTCTATTACGAACACTTCATACAGAACATTTAAAAAACTGATTGATCATAAATCTAGGAGCCAATTTTCCAAGAAAATGATAATATAATAAACTTCTACCCCACAAAAGTTTAAAAGGTTCAACCAAATTAAACTGTTTGTGGCATTCCAGGACAAGCAAGTAGGTTGACTAAGAAACACACAAATCATGCTGAGCCAGTAAACGACTAAAACAAACTAATTCGCCATCTGCAACAACAAAAAAATGGAGTAATATAGCATCCAAACCGGATCAATGCATTTTTCAATCAAACTTAAAACAAAAGATCAGTGCATCTCAGCAACTCTATATGCAAAGGATGCAAAATAAAGCCCTAACTAGCATCCCTGCAAACAGGAGAGAATCCTATCATCGATATTCTAGGTTTCACTAACAAACAAACTCAATGAACTGATACAGAACGGAGATCTAATGGAGTGTTCATCAAAACTATCAAATAAACGCAACGGACAATAGGATCTGAACAAATTCGCGATAAAACATCTCAAATGATAGAAAATACCGTCAAAAAAACTGCAATCAATTCACGACACGAGCATCAGTCGCTCAGTGGTGGCCTAAATGCTTTGCTACCCAAACAAAACTTCGGCAAACACCAAAAAGGAATGCAATGACGGCACTGAAAAAGAAAGAAAGGGAGAGTTTACCAAAGTTGAGTGGAGAAGAGACTGCAAGAGGGAAAGGGAAAGAGTACTTGTTGGCTATATATAGCATTCAAAACTTTTGATATTACATATCTCACACCAAACTTAAATATTTACACTCTTACACCCAAAACACTCAAATAAAAACAAATTTAACGCCCCACCGTTAACGACATCGAAGCGAGGCCGAAGGTGGATAAAGATCGGCTTTCGGATCCGTTGAAAGCTGGATTTGCGGGATTTAGAGAAGTTGAAGAGTGAGAAAGCGGATGTGAGGACGGGGAAGAAAGACGAAGGTTACCTTGGTTTTCCGGTGGGATCGGAGACGAAGGAGAAGCAAGATGAGAGATTCGGAACTCTTCGTACACCGCGATTCCGTCGTCGCGCTAGGAGGTCTTTGTACGCCGCGATCACTGCGATCCCGTCGTACGCCGGTTTCCCCTCGGCGAGACGGTGTAAATATTGAAATTTGGGGGCGACAAATGTAATACTGAAAATTTTGAGTGCTGTATATGTAAATCTTTACGCAATATTTATTTGGCGAGAGGGAGTCGCATCTTAAAATGCATTTCAAATCGATCGACGGCACGCCACGGTCACGTGACCATCCGCAGGGGAACTTCGGTAGTATCGTTCTCCTGGAAGTTGGAAATATGGAATGGAAATTGAACGGCCGGCAAAGGGAAGAGTTGTAGAGTTGGAAGGGGTTTTCTTTGTAAACGATGCTATCCAACAAATAATAGATTCCGACTAGTTATTTAGGTCGTATCCGACATCTTTACAAATTGTTTGTGGAAGATTTAAGACTATTTGGAGTAGCTGCAGTTATATGAGAAAGCAACTGAAAAAGAGTACATCTATTTGAAAATTCAGTTGTGAATTAATTGTGCTGCTGTTATTTATGAACAAAAATCTAAAATGCCATTTTATTTATACCAAAAGTGTAGGGATAATTTAACATACCCAAAAAATCTTTTGTACATATGCAAATTGTGTTTTGAATGAAATCAAAAGTTTATCTGTGCTGAGAGATTTGTTGGAGGACAGGAAGTCGTTTGCTTATTGCAAGACCTGGGGAGAGGATGTATTGGTGATGCTAATGCCCAAAACAAAAGCTGCAGTCCTCGTTGATTTTTATTGGGGTTCTTCTGGTAATAGTGAAGAAAGCAAAAAGGCTGTAGAAGCTTGAGGCCGTATGCAGTAGTCTCGTGCCAACGAATTTGGCGTCCTCCCGACCGATGCCTTACGCGTATCACTTAATTCTGATTTATATTTCTAATATTTAAACTTCAATTTTTATATAAATGCCTCTTTATCAATGTGTATGTTGAATTCAAATCCGTCAAGGAAGAGAGTGTGATTTTTTGAATGAAGAAAGAGAGAAAGACTTAAATCACTCCGGAGCGAATCGGGGCGGTCCCCGAGCTCGGCGGTCTCATTTTTTCTACACAAATTTATGTTTTAAATAAGAGAGAAGATGAGTAAGCTCCTTACATGAGGGGTGAGAGAGAAAATAAGAAGGGCGAGAGTAAATAAGAAGGGGTCATCTATTTATACAGAAAATAAGAAGGACGAGAGTAAATACATATATGCCCTTATTAGAAAGTGGATATGAGGGGTACTCCGATTTTTTTTTTTTTTATTCAATATGATTTTCCTGGAGCTGATTCTCGTTATTGGACTCAGCGTCTGGTGTTTGTGTGAAATAAGATATAAAAGTTTAGGTGTTAGTAGGGATATAGAATTAGATTGTGTCTGTGTTGATATATTTATTTAATATATAAAGAATTGAGTGGTATGTATGTAAATTTCTGGATTTAGGATGTGGTCGGCCCGATTGGCGGTCGGTCGAAGCAACGAGGTTGCTGGTCATAGCATGGCAGGCCGAAGGAGTAGGTGGTCGGCCAGTGAGCAACCGCCAACCGACAAGTGGCTGGCCTTAATGGAAGAGTGTCATTTATGAAAACTTTCTAGCTTTGAGAGTTGGCCGAGGGTGATTGTCGGCCGGAGTGGTGAAGCGGCCAGTAAGGGGATGGTCGGCAGGAGGGAGACTTGGTCGGCTAGTAGATGGTCGGTCAACGGTGAGGTGATTAGCAAGATAGTTGTTATGTAGAACTTATCTTTTTTTTTTTTTTTTTTTTTTTTTTTTTAATTTGGCCAGGCGAAGAGGTCGGGCAATGAATAACTAAGTAGAGGTGAGACGGTTGCCAAGGTGGTGTGGTAACGGCAAATTATATTTGGGTGGTATGGACGTAAATTCCTCTTTATATTTTTTTATTTTATTTTATTCTTAAAGAGTTGTGAGGCAGCCGACCAGTGGATGGCCGACCAGAGAGCAATGTGTCCAGTCCTACAGGTCCATAGTTGCTCGTACGTCTCAATCCATCCGGCTCGTTGAGAAAGTCGTACTTTTGATACTATACAGTCTATAATGTTATATATCAGTTTTTTAAAATTTATAATAGCAGTAATTTCAATACGATAAAAAAGTTTTTGGTGATGTAATTATAAAATATAAAATTTAGATGGTAGAAATATAAATACATAAGAAACCCTAAGCAGATCATAAATTTTTTGTTCATCTCCCAGATATTATAGGTTGTCCAATTCCCCCTGCTTGTTTGGTTTGCACCTCTAAGTACTTGGACTTATTTTCATGCATTTCAAAACAAAACACTGCCTGAGCGAGCCTAAGGCTTCTTTGTATTTAGCTCATTAAATTTTATTTTAATTCATGTTTGACTCGTGTTCGATATAGTCTGTGAACAACCTCGAACAAGCTCGAAAATTCAAATTAAGATCATGTCTGACTTGAATTATAGCTTAATTGATGTAACTTTTAACTGGGCCATACAACTACAGTGCTCAAAAGAGAGATTTTTCTGGATTTAAGCACCTTTAAAGCTCAAATAAAACTTCTTCCACCAATGCGGGACTAAACTGCGCATATATTTCAATACCTGCTAATTTATATGTATTTAAATAGCTAACAGGTAAGCAAAAAGGGTGTGAGACCTTGAGATGTGTTGGGCTCATGTTTACATTTTTTTTTTTTTCTTTCTTTGTTTGACATTTACATACATCCCAGCCAATTCCTATGTATTTACATTCCTAACGCCTAAACTTTATTTTTTTTATTTATACCACCCAAATCTCTTATATGCATAATTTTAAAATACAATATAAATAATTAATATAAAAATAATATAAATAATATATATTGAAGATCTGACTACATAAATCTTAAGGAAATTCAACGGATCATGCAAAGAAGGTATCAAAAGAGCACATCATCACAGTCGAAAGATCGAGTCCTCAAGCGTAATTTCGCTCGGTCGGCTCATGGGCTAATCGAATAAAAGTAGGCCCGAACCAAAGAATGTCTCACACCTGAACCGATGGTAACTCAACCGATGTTAGATCAACGGTCACTCAACAATACTTCCTTTTGACCTTCTATAAATATATGAAGAAAGTTTATTTATCATAATGCGGTAATGCACTATTTGTATGATGAAATAAAATCTCCGTTAGGATAAAATATCTCCCCAAAGGATTCCCTCAGGGAAGCCAACCAAACGATGATGAAGCGGCCAAATCAGACAGTTATGAATATGAAAGTGTTAGTAACATTTACAAACACAAAACGGCGCCAACAACAGTTACCCGTGTCAAAAGGTGTCAGGATCGGTTTCATATATGTAAATATGTAATGACTCATAAATCACATGTAATGTTCTCATTAAAGAAGGGACAAACATGTAATTTACTATACATTCCCTATAACCTACGATTAAGGGGGTTCATTTTTTTCAGAAATGACTTCTAAATCTATTCCAAGAGAATTATTATTATTTGTTGCTTACTCTCTTATCCTCTATCACTCTCCCATCAATTCTCCATCATTCCTCTCATACGGAAGCTCCATGCATTCGGCACGAGCAGAAGGACATTTTTGGATTCAACAAAAACTATTATTATTTAATTATTTATAGGCAACCATGAATGAACAAACCAGTTCATGTTTGACTAGTTTATAAATCGAGCTCAAAAAATTATTCAAGTTGAACTCACTTGCTTAACAAATAAATCAAATACAAGCTACTTAAATAAAACAGAGGATGTCACTCGGTCAGCAACATATTCCAGAAAAATAAAAAGGCAACCAATCTCCGCATATACATGTTTGATCTTAATGATATACTTCAATATGAAATTCAAAATTAATGTACGGGACGAGAATTTGCTTAAGATCTTTATCATGTGGTTTGATGCTTCAAGCACCTCGGAACTCGTGTAATTACCTTATTTTTAATACAAAATTGATTCTTAGAACTCTAAGCAATAAATATATAAAAACTAAAAAAGATTCAACCTGCAAAATAGGGGTTAAGACGGGTTATATCATGCAAGATGAAATAAGTCATGTTCGGTGGGAGGATAGCTCAACAACACATGCAGAAAAGGCTTAGTAAGGATTGGAATGAGCTTAGGGTCACTGGGAGAGGCTCTGGAAGCAATTGGACAAAGTTTCCTCTAAGTTCTCGAACTTCTCCTATTTTGGTCGTAGAGGTGGCCAATTTATAATCCCAGCCAAGGGGAAGGCTCTGGACTCCCATTGGTCAGTGCAAATTAGCTTAAGTGGAGAGGAAAACGGCACAATTGTCCAATTAGGAATTCCCACAATGGATGGGTGAGTTTTGGTGTTTAAGCCAAGGCGAGGCTTCTCTGTTTTGGGTTTTCCGACCAATAGACCGGCCGACCATGCCAGGGGTGGTTGCTAGCTGGCTTAAAGAGGCCCGGAGAGCTTTAATGGTGAATAGTTTGGAGGTTAAGTCAGTTGGTTGCATGAGTAAGTGAGTTAACCAAATTAGGGAGGGGGCTTGCTTAATTTGAGGAATCATTGGTCCAAGCCACAAAATAAGCTGAGCTAGGATTGATGCGGTCAGCTCATATGCTTAGGATGAGGTCGAGGTGATTAAGCCTTGATTAAATCAAAAAGGTTGGGGCCAAATTCTGGGATTTAGGTTTAAAATTGGATTTAGGCTTTGAATTGGATATGGGCTTGGTTTGGTGTGGACTTAAGCCAATTGAGGGTTCAAATGAGTATTGAAAATTGTCATGATGGATTTAGGGTGTGGATTTTGTGAAATTGGAATGGTCATAGGGCTCAATTTTGGTGAAGAGCTGGGCTTGGGGTTAATTTGGGGATGGTTGGCTTGAATTTGGATTTAAGTTTGGAATTTGGTGAAATTTAAATGAATTTGATGAAATTGGGTGAATTTGAAATGAATCTGATGAAAATTGGTGGTGATTTGAGAATTTTGGAAAACTGGGGGTATTTTGGTAATTTGGTCATTTTAGTGGATTTAGGAGAACTTGGGGTGAATTTTGACAATTTTAATAATGCAAAGTGATTTAACATGGTTCTAGGTGGAAAATTGGGAATTTGGGCAATTTTGAAAATCTTATGGCTTCACAGACATTTTGATAATTTTGGTGAAATTTGGGGTTATAAGGCCAAAGTTGGATATTTTAGTAGAATTGGAATTAATTGAATATAATGATCATGCATGCTACAAAAAACCCCACTTAAAGCCATATGACCCATAGGAGAACTCATTTTTGATCCTCCACATGTTGGTCATGTCCATCTTAGCCAAAGGCTAAGGGCTTGAGCCACCCACGTGAGTTTCCAAAAGGAGTAAGGAGAAAGGCTAGGTGAAGGTGATTTTATGGTTTTTGGAATGTGTGAATTTGATGGGCTCGAGTGTGTGCAAACAGGGTTGACTTAAGGCCTGAAAGTCCTATGGGGACTCTCTTCGGGCTTCATCATATTGGTTTCATCCTTCTAAATGCCAAAGTTTAAAATCCATACATGTGAATCCCCAAAGAGAGTAAATAAGTGTTTAGAATTTCTAAGATGATGGGTTCTATTACTAGTCCTCATAGTCAACAAGAAAATCTTATGGTTAGATCATAGGTTTCTAAGAGAAGAAAACTAGTCCTCATCAAAATTGAGGTCAACAGTGTTGTACTGCTATTTTGATGTTGTTTTGGTCGTATTGGGTTATAGGTGGTATTGGGGTTGTATTTTGGTGGTAATTTTTTGTATTATGATTGTATTGTGGTTGTCTTATGATGTCACTGTGGTTGCTTTGTGATTGAATTGATGTTGTAATGTGTTAATATTGTGATTGTATTATGACATTAATTTGACGATATTATGGTGCTCATGATGATATAGAGGAATACTTGTAGATAGTATTTACATGGATTGTTCTCCAAAGACAAATCATGGTTATTTTCAATTTTTCCAAACACATTGGATAAGTAAAGCTCCCAGAGATAAAGTGCATTGTTTTACATTGATAAGTCAACAATACATGTGATTATATTGAGATACTAGCAAATAATACATTGAACAAATGAGACAAATGAAATTTTGCATTGAACAAATGCATCCAGAGAAAAATGTAACAAATGAAATTTTATATTGAACAAATGACACAATTGAAGCAACACACTTCTCAGTCAGTTCACACAAGTAAAAAGTTAAACACTTGAAAATAAATACAGTAGACTTATTTTTCATGTTTCCTCATTGGTTTCTTCTTCTTTTTCTTTATAATTTTTTCTTCCTTTAATCCATTACTGCTAACGTAAATCCTAAACATTGTATATTGAACTACATAAGATTTTACAACCCATAACTAGTTCGAAACATATCGAACAAATGACATTGTTTAGCTTATTTTTAAAAATGTTGGCGGAATTCTCAACTCGTATTGACAATGTTTTTTACCCTTAGGTCATGTTTCACAATGTCGGTATCTAATATGCAAAACCCTATGACATGCTTTTAGTTCTAATGGCGAAAACCTAAAACGTTGGATCTCGCTCCAAATAGAAAAAACTGCATCTACCAAAATTGCAGATGAAGGAATCACAGATGCAACTTGGAACCCATGGACTGCGTTTGTAAAAAAAAATTTTCCTTATTTTACCCATCAGATGCCTCCTTCGGCCTTATTACATATGTTTAATTACACAAATGATATAAAAAAATGGATTCTTAAAAATAAAATATAACATTAATAAATATTTTATTGTATTTGTATTGTATACATACAATCTAATTTCTACAAATTAATTGCAAACCTAAATTTAGAAAAAATACTATTTATTTAATAGGAGACAATTAAATATGAGTAAATGAATATTTCACACATTGTATTTTTAAAAATAAATATATCGGACAAACAACTATTTCTGAAATATCAATTATTAAACAAAAGAGTTTTCGTATTCAACATGGCCGAAACAAAACACCCAAATTCGCAGCTCTAGCTAAAGTTTCCCCTAAATCACACCCAATTCTGAGAGGGAGATGGGATCGCCGACGAACCAAATCATGAATCTGGTCACCCTCCGACGATCCATTCTCTATTCTGCAGTATATCGTCCCCCCGTCTCTTTCAAATCACCAATGGAGACCACTGAGAAGGACGTGATCCGTGGTGGGAAAACGATTCTACAAGGAGGTGACCACCCGAATGGCAGACGACGACAATGGTTGGATGGTGATGCTCAACTACCGCACTCTCAAGACCCCTTCCAAGCGACCTCGCTCCCAAATTTGGCCCAAGCGAAAGCTATTGCTGCCGAGTGGGAGTATCAGGTCAGCTTGCCCTCTCTTCCTTCAATTTGTGATGCATTTTCTTGATGGTTGGTCGACATTGTGCACCGTCGACTTGCAAAACATTTATGGATTTCTCTCACTGGTTAACATCTAGTTCAAGATGAAGGTCTTTAATGACAATCTCCGACAGGAAAAGCGGAGGAGGAGACCCTATCGACTGTCATCTCTCCAATTCTTTTCGCTTCCCTGATCGGCTTCAAACTTTTCAGCGAACGAGAGTTATGCAGAGGGAGCGAGGGTAGGGGCGAAAGGTGACTTTTCGCCCAAATGAAACGCAGATCGCAGTTCCTCCCATGCGATCTGCGTTTAATGTAAATATGTTTTCAAACAGACGGTAGCGCTTTAAAAAATGCCACCACTGTAAATAAGCTGACTAAGATATGTAAGCTTGTTTTTTTTATGCAATGGGTTGAGCCCAGTTTTGCCAAAAGATTTATTTTTTTATATATTTTTTGAAATTCACAAAAATAAATGCCATCGGTTTGAAAATCACGCGTTTAGTTGGACCCGTATGCATATTTCCTCCGTCCCTGCGGAGTACCAACTAGGGCTGTCAAAAAAGCTCGTTGTTCGCGAACAGCTCGTGTTCAACTCGTTAAGTAGCTCATGTTTGGCTCGTTTGTTAAGTAAACGAGTCCAACACGAACAAATATTTAAAGCTCGAATTATAAACGAGCCGAACATGAACAACTCTTTGTTCGCTCGCGTCCGACTCCTTTTAGCTCGAAATTAAAAAAAATAATTATTTATATAATAATATATTACATATATTATTTATATAATAATATATTTTATATATTTATATCTAAGTTTAAATTATAATATATTATGTGATAATGTAGTTAGTGTTCTCTTTTATATACTTGATCTAAGTTCAAATCTAATACTTTGTACCTATTTTTTTTAATTTAATTTTTTCGAGCCGACGCATTTATCACGAACAAATTTAAAACACAGAAGATTTCAAACAAGAGACGAGCCAACCCTCAGCTCGCTCCAGATCGGCTCGTTTACTGCCCTACCAAGCAAGAGGCCGAGGCGAACTCCTAGCAGCAGGCCAGCAGCCACCCGCCCTCCATTCTCATAAGCAGTCTCCTCTAGCGGCGGCGGCTTCAGGGTTTCGCTTTTCTCTCGTTCCTTGCGCTCACAACTCAATATATGCTTTCTCTTACTTTTTCTTGAAGCTCTCACCTCCCGAGTCGAAGGTCAATCAAATTTTTTTGTAATCCACTAATTTCTGGGAGTGTTCAATTTTTTAGGGATTTAGTTTTTTTTTTTTTAAATCCAAATTCTACGAAGTTTCCGTTTCGCATGGAGATATTTAATTAGGGTTTATGTCCTTACTGCTTATTATGGTCAGGTTTCTTGTCTACTCTTGTGTTACGAATTGCGATATTGTTCAGAAAATTGCTTCCAGTGCCAAAAATATTCCATCTCCTAATTGTATCCTCCCTCATATACAACTTATGGCATGAAATGAAAAAAAAATAATAAATTGTAAGGAGTTCCATCTGTTATGCTCTGTTTTTGGATTTATTTCGAAGTGGCACATAACAAGTAGATGGCTTAAAACTGATTAGTTGCGCGTTGAAGTCTATATGTTTTATAAGGAGCTGGCTGGTTTAGTGCTTTTTGGATTTACATGTATTATTATATCAGTGATTGAAATAAATGCAATAATTGATCAAAGTATTCTAGCAATAATGATAATTGTTTGTATCAGTCATGTTGTGAAAATTTTCTATGTTGTTATATTCAGTTTGAACTTGCAATGATTCTTGTTTGGAGTTAAATATAGATATGTATCATTTACTTCAGAAATAAAGTCTTAATTTTTTTGAATTCTTGTTAAAAATTTAGATAAACTACATTTGTTTAAGTTAACATGAATAAAATTATTTATTATTTAACATGCACATTCTTTTTGCCTTGGCTTAAAAATAATTTATTCTATTATACCTTTTCTACCCCTTTTAAACAAGCACATCCGACTTTTGAAGAAACAACATGAATTAAGCAAGGATTTTGTTCTTCTCCTCGTCCTTCCAGGAAATGAATTCCTCAAATGAAGGGAGGCATGATGATGAGGCTGCACTGACTGAGTTTCTCTCCTCACTGATGGATTACACTCCCACTGTAAGAAAATTCTCACCACTCTTAGTTGATAAAACTATTCACATCAACCTTATGATTTCCTTTTTGCAGATCCCCGATGAGCTTGTGGAACACTACCTGGGTAAAAGTGGCTTTCAATGCCCAGACTTGCGATTGTAAGTTTTCCGATTCTTTTCTTCTATTGGGGCATTTACGTACATACCACACAATTCTTATGTATTTACATATCTAACAGCTAAACTTTAATATTTACATTCATAGCTGTTAAATCTTTAACATCACATCAAAAGTATCACTTTTTCTAACTTTTAAAAATTCAAATACATCTTTTTATGCATTGCTTATAGTATCAAGGTGGTATAAAAATAAATATCAAACTTTAGGGGTTAGATATGCAAATTCATAAGAATTGTGTGGTACATATGTAAATGTCCCTTTTCCTTTTTATGAACTTGCTATGGTTTACTAGATTAGTTTCTATGTTTCCACTTGATTCATCATATATGGTGATTTTTGAAGCTTTGATTCTACTTTAATGATCACCTTAATATAAAATGGTGCATCAGGCGTGCTAATGTCTTGACATGATTAAGTTCATTATTGTGAGATTTATACCTATTATTTTAAAATTTAGATTTGGCTATTGAATTCTGACTGTGATCCTCTAAAGTGTAAGAATTTGACAATGAATAGAAGATAACCTATGTGGCCATGTTTGGAAGATGCTTCTAGAAACTTAGCTTATTTCTTGGTTCTTAAATTAGTAGGAAACATCACTTTAATTTTCCTCCATGGGGAATTATTTTTGAAGAAGGTAGAGCCATATTAGATTTTGCTTTAGCGTATGATTTTGTTATTGCTAATACATTATTCAAGAAAAGGGATGAACATATTATTACTTATAAGGGATGAACATATTATTACTTATATTACTTATAAGAATGGATCTAATTAAACACAAATTGATTATTTTCTTATGAGAAGAAGAGATTGTCGAGAATGTAAAGATTTTAAGGTCATTCAAAGTGAGGATTTAACAACTCAACATCGATCATTAGTTCTAGATTTTAAGATGAAGAGTTGTAAAATAAAAAATACTAGGAATCATCGTCGTATAATTAGATGAGGGTTCCTAAAAGACACAAATAAAAATATTTTTGTGAGTAAAATTCATGATTTCAAGATTTGAGATGTTTATAAAAAAACATACTTTATGTGGGATAAAGTAACATACACTATTAAACAAGTGACAAAAGAGGTAATTGGAGAATCAAAAGGAAAATTTTCTATAAATAAAAATAGTTGGTGGTGGAATAATAATGTGCAAGAAAAGATAAAATATAAGAAGTTATGTTATAAAAAGTTGGTTTAAATGCAAATGCTTAGAGAGTTGGGAAAAATATCAAATGGCCTGTAGGGAGTCTCAGAGAACAATTTGTAACGCTAAAAATTCTGCTTTTAGTGATCTTTATAATAGATTAGATACTAAGGAGAGTGAAAAATATATCTATAAACTAGCCAAACAAACGGAAAAGAAAAGTAAAAATTTAAATAAAGTGTATTAAAGATGAAAATCAAAAAGTGATTTTCTTAAAAAAAAATATTCAACATAATTGAGTGAGTTATTTTGATAAACTTTTTAATGAAGTTTCTGAAAATACGATCGACCTTAGTGATCTTAATATCGTTAATAATAATAAAATGATTCATTTGAGGAGACTTTAAAGAAAACAAAGGGTGGAAAGTCTGTAGGGCCTAATGATATCCCATTTGAAGTGTGAAAATATATAGGAGATTGGGAGTTTCTTGGCTTACTAAACTCTTTAATATTATTTTAAAAATTAAAAAGATGCCCGAGGAGTGGAGGAAGAGTATTTTGGTCCTCATTTTTAAGAATAAAGGGATGCACAAGAGTGTGCAAATTATAGATGAATTAAGTTGATGTGTCATACTTTAATATTATGAGAGATGGTAATTGAACGTAGGTTAAGACGTATTACAGAACTTTCTCATAATCAATTTGGATTTATGCCGGTTAGGTCTATTATGGAAGCTATACATTTATTGAGAGGTTTGACAGAGAAATTCATAGATAATAGAGAAAATAATAAAGGGGATCTACATGTGATTTTTATTGATTTAGGAAAAGCTTACGATAAGGCTCCAAGAGATATCCTTCAGAGAGATATCCTTTGGAGAGTTCTCGAGAAGAAATGTGTTGACATGACTTATATCCAAGTCATTAATGATATGTATACTAGAGCTGTTACTTGTGTTTGAAGAGGAGAATTGACCAAATATTTTCCTATTTCTGTTGGATTACATCAGGGATCAACTTTAAGCCCTTATCTTTTCGCTTTGTTATGGATGCGCTTACTGGACATTCACAGGAGGATGTACCTTGGTGTATGTTTTTTGCTGATGATATCCTTCTCATATATATGACAAGAGAGAAAGCTTAGAAAAAACTTGAATTATGGAGATCTACATTGGAGTTTAAAGGCTTTCGTTTGAGCAGAACTAAAACTGAATACATGGTATGTAATTTTAGTAGTATTAGCTTTAGTGTCAGAATTGTAACTGTGGGTGATCAAATTATTTAAAGGTGTGAATGCTTTTGATATCTCGGGTTTATTGTTCAAAGTGACAGTGATATGGATGGGGATGTTATTAGTAGAATTCAAGTTGGTTGGTTGAAGTGGAGGAATGCTTCGGGCCTATTGTGTTATGGAAAAGTACCGCTTAGACTAAAAGGACAATTGTATAATATGGTGGCGAAACCTTCATTGCTCTATGGCGTTGAATGTTGTCCTTTAAAAAAGAAGCATAAAACTAAGTTAAGTGTTGCAGAGATGAGAATGATTAGGTCGATGAGTAGCTTTTCACTTAGAGATAAAATGTGAAATGAATATATCCGTGATAGGGTTGGTGTAGCTCTAGTGACAGTCAAAATTAGAGAGAGTTGTCTTAGATGGTTTGGTCACATTAAAAGTTTTCCATCTGATGATTCAATTAGGAGAGTAGATGTTTCAAATTTGACTTATGTTAAGAAAGGCAGACAAAAAGCTAGAAAGACTTCGGTATATTGTATAAAAAATGATCTTAATTTATTATAATTAAATGAAGATATGACACTCAATAGGACGCAATGGAGAAAAAGAATTCATGTAGTTTACCCCACTTAGTGGGATAAAGATTTGGTGTTGTTGGTGGGAATATTTTTTGAATCTTTATATTTCTAATATTTTCATTCCAGAATTTTTTTATGCCTTTATTATATTGACGGCTTCCTTTTCTGTTCACCATAAGTACCCATCAATAAGTGCTCCTTGTTGTGTTTTTATTTTGGCAGAACAAGGCTTGTTGCTGTAGCCACCCAGAAGTTCATCTCCGAAGTTGCAAATGATGCACTTCAGTATGTTTTGCTTTCCCATTTATTTTTGTTGTTTTCTTTAAGCTATTATGAGTATTTCACATATAAAATTGTAATAGTTTGTTTTTATACTTAAATTTATGGTAAACATGAAATTCAGATGCCAGTGTGTTTTTGCAATGTAATAATGGTAATATGCGGTTTTGTGTTCTATGATTCCAGGAAAGCCTTTTATATTCACTTAGAAACTGACCTATGCTCACTAAAATTTCATGTAAACCGCACAAGTCCCTTTAATTTTATGCTCCTATAAGTTTAAATTAGTTGTTGATTATTCATTTTGCCATTAACTTTTACACTATGATGCATTTATTAATGTATAGCTAACATAACAAATAAAAGTGTAATAAGATGATTTTTGTATTGCAATCATGATAATATATACATTTGTATCATAGTGTAAAAGTTAACATAACAAATCTTAGCATGATATGAGAATATCATATGGCAAGTCAATAACTAAGAAATTTTAGGATACATATTGGACATTGCATATTTATTTATTTATTATTAAAATGAAACTTCATTATGTACTTTTTTAGTGACAATAACCATTTGATTAGTATCAAATTTGAAATAATAAATGTAGAATTTGGCATGCAATGATGATAAAATGAGGTTTTTGTTCTATGATTCGAAAACCTAACTATTCTCACTAAAATGTTTTGTAAATTTGTTTTGTTGCTTTAATTTTTTATGCTTGTATACATCTTTATCAGCTATTGATTAGTTTTCTTTTTACCATTAACATACCCTATGGTGCATGGGCACACAATCAACTTTGGGTCCGTTTGGGGCAGCTTATTTGTTGCGGTGGCGTTTTGAAAATGCACCTGGTCTGTTTGGATAAACTGCGTTTTGGCAGTTTATGCATTTTGAAAACACTGAAAATAGCGTTTTTTTCACACACCTATCAGGTGCGGTGGCAGTGGTCTGACTTTTACAAAAAAATAAAAATTTGTAATAGCCACCGCACCTAGCTTATCAACAGATTATTTTTAATCAGCTTATCAGCAGATCATTCAATAAGCTGCAGCTGCCCCAAACAGACGAAGAACATGGTAGTATAAAATTCAGATAAGGGCTGTTGATTTTGGTATGCAATTATCATAAGATGAGGGTTTGTCTCCCATAATTCACAACACTAACTATTTTCACTAAAATGCTATGTAAATTGCACGTTGCTTTTATCTTTTGTGCTTGTATACCTCTTTATTAGGTTATTAATGACTTTTATTTTTACCATTAACTTTCCCTATGATGCTTGAGCACACACTTAGCTTAGTAGTCGAAGAACATAGTAGTCATGAAAAAAATCAATAATTAAGAAATTATAGCACTCAAATAGGACATTATGTTTTATTTTTCTGAAATTTATATACATACCACACATTTCTTATGTATTTACATATCTAACACCTAAACTTACATATTTACATGCATAACACTTAAAAAAGTTAGCACACATAAAAAAATACAACAATTAATAACATGTCAAAAGTGAATGCACCTTTTCATGCTTAGATTTGTGACCAAAGTGTTATGAGTGTAAATATCAAATTTAGGTGTTTGATATGTAAATACATAAGTTCTTGGTATGTATTTAGATTTTCTTATATTTTTTATTATTGAAATGAAAAAAATAACTTCCTTATCAATTATAAGACATTTTAATTTAATATAAAAAATAATTGGAACAACATAATATCCTTATAATATTTTAACTACAAAATTATGAACAACGAATTCTTCTTTTATATTTATTTAAAAGAATGAAAAGAATTTTAATATTGAAACCATGTATTAAAAAAATGGATATATGCCACTGAATAGTAGCTTACATGATTGTTTCTTTCTTTTTTTTTTTCATTCAAAGAGAGCCATAATTTCTATCTCTCGTCTCTAATTTTTTCCTTAAAAAAAAGTGTAATAAGATGATTTTTGTATTGCAATCTTCCTTTTGTATTAAAACAAATAAAATATTTTCACTCCTTTTAATTTTAGATTCAAATTTGTTGTGTTCAACTGGGTTGGCCGAATTGTGTCAATGTATAACATTTATTGCCCATTCTTATCAGTTTTTTTAAAGTGCCTTGTATTATAATAATTCTAAATGATGGTGCATTCTAACTTTTTTTTATTCATAGTGTGAATTTTGGTAAATATTTATCTCATAAGCATTCAAGTCCTTATCTATAATCTCTCTTTGATTTTAATTTATACAGTGTGGGAAGTGAGAGCAGGTGATGCATAGGAACTTGTAGATGCCAGACATTTTTTCTATTAGGTATTATGTAATACTGTGGCATTTGGTGGGTTTTTCAAGTTATAGAGGTAGAGAAAAATAGAAAGATTAGGGATTCATTTGAGTAATGATAATGTAGAGAGAATTATGTATCTCTAAAGAGAGGAGTTTTGTATAATAAGGATAGAATCAGTGGAATCGAGTGTTGTAGTGTTTTAGGTCCTCAGAGTGATGGTAATGACGGATCCTATTTTTTCAATTTCTTTATGATAGGAAAGAGCGAGAGAGGTTAGTGAGCATAACAAGGGAAGGTAGTGAAAGAAAAGAGAAAACTACATATAAAAAGAAGAACATATATGAGAGAGTCAAGTAGAGCTTCAAACACATGCAATTAATCATGAAAAATGTTGGTTCGTCTTTCAATACATAATACAACCTTTGGAGATCTAGTTATAAACCGAGAAGGACATTTGAGCCTTATTCACTAGCCATGATCATATAAAAGTTGGAAATAATTAAAAAAATTTCCTAAAACATAAGCAAACCTACTCTAATTTTATAAAGTGAAAAAAAAACTATCCTTAAGACAAAAATTACATAAAATTGAAAGAAATTTTGATTTATGAGATACCAAAATGGAGAAAGGAGCTATAATAAGGTTGGTCAACAGATCAGGTTGATTGTTATTGTAATATAGATGTTTTCATAATGATCCTGCAAAAAGTAGGAGATAGTTCTAATCACTTTCCCTAAGTAGATAGAATTCTCCTAGGAAGAGTATTGTGATGATATTAAATTTCATAGTGATTCAATGTTTTTTGGAGTCCCTTCACATGAATGCTGAGAATTTTTTGATGCTGTTTGGCTACACTGACAAATTAGGTGTTGTTAGACGTATGGACCTATGCTGACTTCACCAAATGATAGTCAAGGATTTTTTTTGATGGTGGATGGCCTGACTAACAAATAAAGTGGCAAGACTAAATTAATGATGGATGGTTAAACTGACAAATAGGACTGACCTACAAAATGAAGGATCTTTTATCTGATTTTTTTTTATATAGCTATAAGTTGGTTTTGGTATTATTAGTTTGATTTGATATTCGATAATATTTTTGAGGACCAGCTACATCATTAAATTGACAGAATTTTGAATGATTCTATTTCCAGTAGCTTTACATAGTCCTTATCTTCATTCTGTTTGTTTAGCAGATCATTCTACTGGCGTTTTCTACTAGTTACCTCTCATATGGTGAAAATGGATTCTTTGATCTTTTTGTTAGGATCGTCCATCAGTATAACCTGGTCTAAGATTCACTGTACTGAAATGAGATGCCACCGTGTCTCTTTAGTACTAATTTTTTTTTAATTTTTTAAATTATATTTTGCTAGCATCAATAGGGTATTGGTTAATGGATTCATCATCACAATCAAACATAGCCTTATCCCAACTATTTGGGGCCAACTTTTATGAATTTACATTTTTCACTATTCTTGATGATTATTACTTGAGATGTTAAATCTATTTGACTATGCGCTTTTGCGTAAATTTTGTTTGTGTAGTTTTTTCCGACAATTTTACTTCTCTAATTTTTCCATGTTAATTTTATGTATAGATTTTTGCATCTTCTATTTTCTTTTGTTTATGCCCAAGCAATTTAATTCTATTTTGAACCATCTTATTCTCAATAGAATTTATTAATGCTACCCATTTCTATAAACATTTATCATTTTATCATTTCTAGTATTGTCAAACATCTATTTAACAAAGTTATGTATCACTTTATTTTATCATGAATTTTTTTAAAGAAACTCTTTCATTGCAAATACTTGTGGTTACCAAATAGTTCAATTGATAAAGACATTTGGAAGTTTTTTCGGAACTTTGGTTCTAGTATAATATTTATGAATGGTTAGTTTTAGCCATTATTAATTCCTGTTTATTCCGAGTTATTAGCTTGGATTCTTTATTATTCATTAATTTTCTAATGTATCTTGTTTTTATTTCTTTCCTTACTAGTAGATCATGTAATGGGTAGGGCTGTCAAAACGGCTCGTTGTTCGCGAACAGCTCGTGTTCGGCTCGTTAAGAAGCTCGTGTTTAACTCGTTCGCTAAGTTAAGGAGCCAAACACGAACAAAGATTTGTTTGTTCGTGTTTGACTCGTTTTGGCTCGAAATACTACTCATCAATTATATATATATATATTTGATGAGTAGTATTTCAAGCCAAAACAAGCCGAACACGAACGAACAAATCTTACAAAGATTTATAATCAATTAAAATTATTAATTAAGAAAATAGAATAAAAATTATTAAATTAGATTCAAATGATGTTTTAATATAAACAATAATTCTTAAATCTTGCCCCATCCCTTAACATCTTATGACTACGTGATTAGGGTTGTCAAAACGACTCTTAGTTCGCGAACAACTCGTGTTCAACTGGCTAAGAAAACGAGCACTGTTTTTGAGCTCGAAATATAAACGAGCTGGGTTCGCTCGTGTTTGACTTGTTTATACCCCTAATAATCGGTATTTATATCCCTCTTTGTATCAATAAGATTTACCTTCGGTTATATCCTCAAAGTTAACATGGTATCTGAGCCAGGTTCTAACTTAGCTGCCACTGGGTGTCTCCCATAGCCGCTGACTCGCAGACTTTCGTTGCAGTGTTGGTTCTCCCTCCAGCCGTTCGTTCTAACATTTGTTCCAGTGCCGGTTCTCCCTCCAGCTG